TCCATAAAATCCATGTGATAAGGAAAGGTGTACCTAATATAATTCCCATTGACATTCAAATTCTTGTGTATGTGCACGTGTTCATGTGTGTGCAGGTGCATGTGCATGTGTGAGCATGTGCCTGTGGAGGTCAGAGATCAACCTTGGCTGTCATTCCTCAGGTCCCATCCACCTTGGTTTTTGAGACAGGGTCTCTCACTGGTCTGGAACTCGCCAACTGGATTAGGCTGGCTGGCCAGTGAGCAGGGATCTGCTCGAGAATCACAACTGTGCCAGCTTTTTACATGTGGGCTCTGGGGCTCAAACTCAGGTCCTTATGCAAGCACTTAATCACCTAAGCTATCTCCCTAGTCCTTACGTTTATTTTTCACACAAAAACTTGTTCTCTTTTTATTTTTTATGGCTTATTCTTACAATAGTTGTGCTCAAATTTTGGTGTAATGATCGCCCAATAAGAAGCTAAAAGGTGGCTGCCAAGGCGTCTAAGGTTGGATGATGCCCATGAAAATGCCTTTTTAATAAGCACAATATTCTGATACAGGTGTTGTAAGGATCATAGTAAATAAAAATGCCATCCTGGAACATACTTCCTTTGGAGGCAGTTTCTTTAAATGTGCTGCTCATAATATTTGAAGATAGTTCTGGATTTAAATTCAAGTCAGTTTTAGGACCTGTGATACAGTACGCTCTCTTCGTGTCCTAAACAAATATTCAATTTTTTCTTTCCACTCAATCTTACAGGATAGACAAGGAACTGTTTTTCTATTATATGAACCCCTGAAGAGATACAAGTTGGGCATGTTGTAAGTATGAAGTGTGTCTGTGATATGTAACAAAGAAAATTGACTATAACAACCAACAAGATTGGTGTTTCCCCCACATTTTAATCATCAAGCTGATTTATCAGATGTCTGTCTTGTTTTATTTAGATCCTCAGGTACTTCACAAAGTGGCTTTAGATGTGTTGGTCAGGGCTCATATAGCTGTCCAAACTTATCAGGTAGACGTCTACACTTAAACTGAACCAATCAAGCTCATATACCTACAAGGCACAACAAATCTGATTTGTGGAGCCTGCTCTGGTGTCCCATTGTGAAAAGGAAGTTGTCATTCTGGCATGCTTAGAAAAGTATGCTGGTGGCCTGGGCAGATTTCCCCCAAAAGGTTGGGGCAGACCCAGTTTGGGCTCTGAGGCAATCTTCTCAAGGAACCTATGTACTGAGCAGAGTCCTGCAGGCAGTGATACCTACCCTCACCTGTCCTTTTGAATTTATGCAAATGTTCTGGTTTCTTCCTCTTTAAAGCTAGAATGTGGCCACGGTTTAATCCAACCTCCACCTGTAATATCCCAGCAAGCCTGCATTTGTTTGATCTGCTCAAGTGTTTACATCCAGAACAACAGAACTATAGACACTGCACCTCTAGGCATGAGAATGGAAGGAGCTGCCTTTGCTTCCCAGAGACGTTCTGTCTCTCAGCTCCCTCCTTGTTCTGAGCCCTAAGCTAGCTGTTTACTCTCTCCAGGTGTACTATGATGCTAGGGCACTGGCAGGGCAAAGGCAACAAGGCAATTACTGTAACTAGGTGGACAAAGCAGGCCATTGGATTTGAGGATGGCAAGCTGATAAGAAATTAGTATTTTCCAGAGTAGGAGTCTAAGCAGGAAAGATTCGAAGTCCAAGTATATTTCTAAGCTCAGAAACTCAGACACATAGGTTTGCTAATTATAACAACTAGAAATCAGAACACAGATGTGAACTCTTACTGAGCACCAGCTGGCATGAAAGGTAAGCTGCAAAGGATGAGCTGGGCTAGGACTGCAACTAGACAAACCCTCACATTCAGGAGATGAGGCAGGAGAAGCCAGCTCCCTTTAAGTGAGGCCAAATCCAGACCCAGGATTCAGGTGGACAGGGCAGGTCATCTAATGCAACTGGTTCATATCATTAGCAAAGTTCTAACCACAAAGAACAATCTGAAAGTCAAAAAGAGGGAACCTGACCATAGCAATTCAAAAAGGAGGCCACTTTGGAGGACCCAGCTCAGCAGGATACTGGCATGAAGAAAGCCTATCAGAGGCAACAGCGCCCCAAACAGGCCAGGAGCAGGACTTGTGTCTCAGAACTGACAGGGTGACGTAGGGAAGTACTAGGGCATAGGCAGAACTCCTGAGGTATGGACCACAGGAAGATTGATCCAGTTGAGTCCTTAGGCTTAGAAGCCCCAAGCAAGAGAAAAACCACCGAACTTAAGTGATATAAAAGATTCATGAACAAAGAAACTTCCAGTGAGCAAAGTGGATTTGACACTGAGGCTTACAGAATAAGTAATCAGACTGGCAACCAAGTGGAACTCATCCAGCTGTTCCTACACCTGTACCTGAAAGTTCAGGCAAGGATGCCTTGACCTGCCCCCTAGCTTCAGCAAAAACAATACTATTGGTGTACCTCCTAGGAGGTTATTGCTTCCCACACATTCTACAGACAGGGCACCATTGGCACAGACCCAAAAGACTCTACTGCCTTTTCCACCACATTTTACACCCCTTCATATTCCCATCCCTTACTGCAGTCACGAAACACAGAATCTTAGAGTATGGAAGGACTTTGGCGATTAATCAATACTGTTATTATGTGGGAATCATGCTTCAAGAAGAGATGTGACCTGCCTGGGTCCAATCACAGGGAGTCTGTCCACTGATCCTGACCTTAATCTGTTGTTCGCTGAGGTTTACAGAAAGTGGCAGTCTGGCAGAGTGAAGCCAGTTATATAAGGATTACCAGACTTTTCTGAGATAAGATACATGATTAGTTAAGTTTGTTGATAATTTACTTCTTCTGAATATTAGAAAAGATTCTAGATTTCCTTGCAATTCTCACATCTAGCTGTGCTACTGAGAATGAGGTGAAAGAGTAGAATGACGTGTCTGTCATAGGAATTTCACTAAGTGTAAACACAGGATGTCGAGAGTCAGTGATTTAGACAGTGGCCGGGAGACGGTCCCATTTTATAGAACTCACACTGAAAGAGAAAAGATGCTCCTTAATTTTCTCTAGGACCTTAATAGAGGCTTTTTGGGAGATGATTAGGCTTTGTTTGGCTTCACTGCAGTCAGGTCATATCAAGTGAAAAGCACCAGTCAGCCACCTCTTTAGGGAAAAATGATAGTACAAGAGGGGATGACCAACAGATCAGAATTTGTGGTTCTGCTTTTCTGGGATGATGTCATCCCAACTCCATTTATTCTATTCTTGGATATTTCTGGAAAAGAGTGGAATTGAAGGATAAATTCAAAAAAGGAAATTAAAGAAAATTCTAGAACTCAATGGATAACTAGGGAAGAGGACACAAAACCATTTGTGATCCAAGTATTACAAATATATAAACATGCCTACATTTTTTTTAACAGATGGATCTCTGTTTTTCATGTCCTTGTGAGAATCACCCAGGGAACTTAGTGGAGAGACACATTCTAAGACCCCAAACCAAAGATTCTGGTTTTGTTCATTTGAGTAGAGCCTGGGAATTTGTTGTCTTAGGAAGAACCCAGGGTCCATGCTGACTCTGGTAATAAAACACAAATTACTTTTCAAAATTACTGACTCTGAAGTTGACTCTGTTATTTATTTTCTTAAGGGATGCTAGCAATTAGCAGTCAAAACGGATGGGCTTGTCCTAGGATTTTAGGAATGTAACTCAAAAAGTTGAGAAGTATTGATTTAGTCTAATTTGTTCAGTTCAGAAAAAAAGAAAACAAAGATCCAGAATAAAATTGCTTCCCCAAAGTTAGTTAGTGGTAGAACCCTGGGCTCCAACTTTGGGAACCAGAAAGCTTTTGGTCCCACTTGACCCCAAAGAAAATCTGATGGGACTGGAAAGGAGCCATTCCCAGAGGACCCAAGCTCTAGACTTCTGAGGGACTTACTTTACAGGTAACAATTGTGGAAATAGCCCCAGAATTTTTTTCAGCAGACTAAGGGGCAGCTTTTTATGTTCTCCCACTTAGGACAGAACAATTATCAAAAATTAATCCATTCAAAAAATTAATCCATTCACTTAACCTGTTTATTTTTCCTTTGATAAAATTTGAAAAATAGCTAGAAAGTTCCCTGGAGTTTTCAAGTTAAAACATGTAACAATAACCCAGTTGTTTGAGCAAGTTCTCTGGCCATCATATAAATGGTATAGGATGGCTTATCTGCAATCTTCTATTTTTTAAGTCTTTAAAATTTTTATTTTGTGTGTGTGTGTGTGTGTGTGTGTGTGTGTGTGTGTCGCCTGCATGTATGTATGTGCATCATGTATATGCCTGGTGCCTGCAGATGCCAGAAGAAGGTGTCAGATCCCCTAGCATTACAGATGGTTATTAACTGTCATGTATGTGCTGTCATGTGGGTGCTGGGAACTGAACCTGGGTCTTCTGCAAGAGCAGCAAGTGCTCTTAACCTCAGAGCCACCTCTCTAGCCTCAGCCTGTAATCTTCTTAAAGTGGGTATTCAACCTTATAAAGGCAACTGTTCATGAATGGGGGCACACTGTCTTTGAACATGAGCTACTCATAAGCAGCATAAATTACTTGTCTGCATGAAATTGAAAACAAACCCCAAACAACCCTCCAGATACCAGAGATGCAAATCTCTGTAGACAAGGAAATTGTGAGGCATGAATGACACTTAGCAACAATTCTCTCAAACTAGCCTAAATGATTTTTAAAATGAGTTAGTACTGCTGTCCGAGCTCAGTAGCCTTTTGCTAGAAATGACTGAACCTATTGCTATACTCTGCTAAGTTGATTAATAAAAAATATTTATTACACAAATCCTTTCTGTTGACAAGTTAAAATGGAGCCTCATCTTTCATATCTCCCTGAAGATTGCCACCTTGTGAGATTGAAAATACTCATTAAATTCCATCACCAGACACACAAATGAGAGGGCGATTGTTTTTAAGCATGTGAGGAGAATCGTTGGTAAACTCATTTGTTTGGATATCATTAACAGAACAATCGGTGTGGATCTCCAGGGGGTCCTCATGACCTTTGCTCGCAATCTCTTCATCATCCATCAAGAAATATCAGCACCTAATATGCAAGGCGAGACCAATTTTAAGGTGAGGTGTTAATTAACTAACGATCCTGGTTAATTTCTATACAAGGGCTGAAAATACCTCATGCTGTATTGTAAACAAGTGCTAAACCATCTTTTTTTTTATTGTAAGCAGTACATATTTTACAATGTGCAGGGTCAATTTTGTAAGGTTCCCACTGAACCCGTTAGTTAAATTTAATAGTTTGAAACTTTTTCTTTGAAATATAGTAGACTAGCTTTAACTTGCTGCCATTTTGAAATCCAGGCTCATGAGACAACAGCTCTCTGATGTTGGAGGTGAAGCTGAGGCATCACAATGGAACAAAAACAGAGACTGTCACAATCAAAGTTTATGAATGTAACCTATCTGTATGTCAGACAGTGCAATGTCTGACTAGTGCTTCCTAGGGAACCCCAGTTTCTAGAGCTGAATAAGCTCTAAGACCCAAAGACAATGTATGCTATGGAGAAACAGAAGAAAATTCCAGCATCTGTGTGGGACATCCAAATGAGGGAGATGGTTCACTACTAACCTTTCTAAGCTCCACATGGCCTCTAAAGATCCAAAGTCTCCAGATTCTCTATTGCAGGAGATACTGGCTGAAAAGAGCTGATGGCTTGGTATTGATCAGCAATTCTGAACCTGACTTCCAACCTAGGCCTTCACCATGTTTGAATGAGCCAGGTAACTCTGGAAATCACATGTAGTTCTTCTCTTAAATAGAAAGTTCAAGTAAAACTTCACGCAAAACATACTTTTATTTACTCAAGCTAGGGCCTAACCTCTTTAAAAACAATGCTTTAGGGGCTGGATAGATGGCTCAGAGGATAAGAACACTGACTGTTCTTACAGAAGACCCAGGTTTGAATCCTAGCACTCACATACATGGCAGCTAACAACTGTCTGTAACTCCAGTTCCAGGGGATCCAACAGTCTCTTCTGTCCTCTGCAGGCATTTCATGACACTGGTGCACTTACCTACATGCAGGCAATTACACGCATACATATAAAATAAAAATAATAAATTAAAAAAAACCAATGCTTTACTCTTCAAAGTGTTAAGACCTTGGACATTGACCATTGGTTTTCATATATCATAACTAAGAAGATTTGACCAAAAAATATAATTATTATTAAAAATATGAATAAATGACTAAATTAGACTAAATCAGTGCTTCTGAACTTTTTGAGTTACATTCCCAAAATCCAAGGACTTGCCCACTCCTTCTGGATGCTAGCTACTAATTATCTCTTCTTTTAAGATAATTTTGGGACTGGCAGTCCTTTATTGGGGCTGGAGGGATGGCTCAGTGGTTAAGAGCACTGGCTGCTTTTGCAGAAGACCTAGGTTCTGTTCCCAGCCCCCACACATGGCAGCTAGCAACTGTCCATAACTCCAGTTCCAGGAGGTCCAACACTTTCTTCTGGCCTCTATGGGCACTGTACAACATGGATGCACTTATATACATGCATGCAATACACTCATACATGTAAAATGAAAAGAAATATTTTTTAAGAAAATTAATAATAAGCCAGGTATGGTGGCATACATCTTTAATCCCAGCACTTGGGAGGTAGAGGTAGATGGATCTCTGTGAGGTCAACGCCAACCTGGTCTATATAATGGGTTCCAGCTGAGGCTACAGGGAGACCCTATCTCAAAAAAAAAAACAAAAGAAAATTAATAATAGTCAAAGTCAACTTCAACTTCAGAGTCTGTAATTTTGAAAAGTAATTTGTGTTTTATAACCAGAGTGAGTACTAGACCCTGGGCTATTCCTGGGCTCTCACCACATTAACAAGACCAGAATCTTTGGTTTGGAGAGCCCAGAGTGTATCTCTTCATTTAAGATCCAGTGTTACAACAGTATTCACTGTTACTAAGGGATCTGCAGTAGTTTGGACAGTTTGTATCTAGTGGTCCATGTGGTGAAAGCTTGGTCTCCAGGCTCCTAGTGTGGCAATGTGGAAGGCAGTAGAACTTTTAAAAGATGGAGCCTAGCCATTGAAGAAATCCCCTTTGGAAGAGATTGAGGCAGTTCTCATTGAATACTGTTTAGTTCTTGCAAGAAAGTTGTCGTGAGATAGCAAGACTGGCCTCTTCCTACTCTCTTGGCTATTATTGAGTGAGCACCCACCATGTGGTGGGAGGGTCCCAGCCAAGGGGGCCCTCATCAGAAGCTAACTTGATAGAACTACCTGATCTTGGAACTTTCAGCCTCCCAAATTGGGAGCTAAGTAAACAACATGCATGTACACACACACACACACACACACACACACACAAAACACACACACACACACACACACACACACGGATATTTTGTTATAGCCACAGATCTACGCTCATCATTTACCTTTTAAGCTCCTGCCAGTTAACATCATTTTATCCGTCAATGCTTTGTGCAAAATTCTGAGCTTGGTTGCATATAATCACTTTAGATTATAATAATAGCTAATAACCAGAATTAGTTTATTGTAAAACCCACATAGATGAAATGGACCCCCAACTTGAACTTGAGGTTGACAGAGCCAATCATCCTTGGCAAAAATGAAGACTATTTCTCTGCCCTTTCTCTGGCTTTCAAAATCACTAAAAAGCAGACACTTAGCATGAACTTGGAAGTATTTCATGGTTTCTAGTATTTTCAGTTAGCACTGTGGTTATCTTGACATTTATTCTCATTAGAGGGGTTAAAGGTAAAAAATACTTTAAATCTGAAAAATATAATAATAATGACAAAAACTTGAAAGGTAGAATAGATTTACCTTTGGTAATATTTTCTATCTGCTCCCTTTGTAGCTTTCAAATAGATGTTTTCTGTTTTTAAGCAGAGATACACCAGTTAAGTTAAGTGAAAGATGACACAGAAAAAGTATTTAATAAAATCCAACATCTTTTTGTGATTAAGAAATACTTAACATAGTAGGAATTGAGGACAATGTCTCTAACATAATGAAGAGTGTCTAAAAAATTCCCACAATTACTATCAGAGTTAATAGCATAAGATTGAAAACTTTACCCTTCAAATCAAGAATGAGACAAGAATGGCAGCTCCTGCTTCTATTCACTGCTGATAGATAAGACCTTTAGGAAAGAAAAAAGAAATAAAGGCATAGGAACTGGAAGGATAGGACTAAAGCCACCTCTCTTTGCAGATATCAATCTTTAATAAATAGAAAATCATAAAGAAACCATAATCTATAAGCAGTAAATAAGTTCAGCAAGGTTGCAAGATGTAAGATCAAAATGCAAAGTTCAACTGTATTTCTACATACTAGCAGTGAAAACATTCAAAAATAAAATAAAATGTGAATCAGTTGAAATTACAACACAAGACAGAAGAAAAGACCTAAGAATGAATTTGATAAAACAGATACATTACCAATGCACTGAAATCTAGAAAGAAATTAATTTTGTTCTAGTGAAAGAAATGAAAGAAGACCTCAATAAAAGGAAAGGGATTCTGTATGCATGGAAGTCTTAACGTTGCTAAGACTACAATGCTCCCCAAATTGATTAATAGATCAATTGCACTTTCTATCCAAATTCCATCTGGGATTTTGGAGAAACTGACAAGACAACCCTAAAATGTGTGTGGAAAAGTTAAGGAACCCAAATAGTCCAAATAACCTTGAACCAAAAAGAGTAAACTTGGAGAACTCACATCTCTGAATTTTAAAATTTCCTATAAAACTGCAACATTCAAAATGGTGTGGTAGTCACATAAGAATAGGCATGTAGATCAACAGACTAGGATGTAATGGAGAGACCAGAAATAAATCCATATATTATGAGCAATTGATTTTCAAAAGGATACTAAAGCAATTAAATGGAAGAAAGAATAGTCTTTTTAAATACAAGGTACTACCTATACATAATAAAGTTGAGCTTCTCCTTGATACCATATCCAAAAAGTCCTCAAGAGGGATCAATGTAAGAATATAAGACCTAAAACTAACAAATTCTTAGGAGAAACATGGGTATAAGTCTTCAAGACCTTAGATTAGTGGTGGCTTCATAGATGTGATGCACTAGTAACCGAAGAGAAAACACAATGTTTGGACCTTATCAAAGAACACATAGAATGTGACAAAATATTTGCAAATTATATATCTGAGGAGGCTGCAGTAGCCACAATATGTAAAATACTCTTACTACTCAAGCAAATAATCCAGTTTAAATATAAGCAAAGAATTTGAATAAACATATCTTCAAAGAAGATAAACAAATGGTCAGTAAATAAACTAATAAATGTTCAGCATCATAAGTCATTATACCATATCCAGCTCAGATGACTATAATAAAAAATAAAAGTAACAAACATTTGAAGGATATGGAGACTATGGAAACTGAAACCTTCAGTTATTGTGGTGTGAGGCTTTGTAATTCCTTAAACAGTTAAATACAAAATTACCATATAATCCAGCAATCTATTCCTGGGTATATACCCAGAATTACTGAAAACATACATTCATACAAAAACTCGCAAGGTTTATTAAAGCATGATTCATAATACCTAAAAAGTATAAACAACCCAAATGTCTATCAACTGAGAAATAGGCACATTCAATTATAATACCTGGAGAAGATTCATCATACAGTGGAATACTATGCAATCATAAAAAGGAATGAAGTGTTGACAACATGTGCTACAGTATAGATGAGCATCGAAGACATTGGACTAAGTGAAAGAAACCAGTCACAAAAAGACAAAAACTGTTTGATCCTAGGTATGTGTAATGTGTTAAGCAGACGAGTCCATAGACAGGAAATAAGTTAGTGGTTGCCAAGGGCTTGGGGAAAAGGAAAATTGAAGTAATAGTACCTAATAGGCATAGGGTTTCTTTTTGGGGTTCTTATGGAATCACATAGCATGCTTGTCTATGAATATACAAAAAAATCCTCACTGAATTGTATACTATATAAGGAAGACTCATGTGGGATGTGAATGGTTTCTCAATAAACATAAAGTAAAACAGGAAGGTGCCCCTT